TAATTTAAAGCCTTGTATAAATATATATATACATATATGATGTCATAGACATCCGTTCAACCTTTTCATTATACACAAAATAGAACAAAATAACTGGTCACAAAACAACAAAAGTCTCAAGCTTATGTCATGGTTTTCAAAACTCGACTGTTGAACTCTTTCCGAAACCTCCTCGGGAGGCACAATGGTTGGCCGACAAAATAGAGACTCCAGGTCATCAACTATAAGCCTGGTCACACGTCTGGTCGCCTACAAACATAATATATATAGTGAGTGAAGCCTAGTGAGTAATAATAGAGTAAAGATTTTTAATGAATGATGTCCAATTTCGTATCATATAAATAAGAGAGATAAACATAGTCATATAAAAAAAAAAGTCATGTTCATATTCATATTCAAAGCATGCGTGGTACTTCCATTAGCATTAACATATAACTTTTGTCAAGCGTATCAAGTTCCATAATGGAACTTCCGATACCGGGTAACATATCTCATACATAGGCCACGATATTGTTTTCCCCAGGCAAGAGCCTGTGCCATGGTATTGTTTCCCCCAGGCAAGGGCATCATGACCATAAGCCACAATATTATGTCCCTTGGGCGAGGGCCTCTGTTAAGAATACTACAAATACATTTCAAAGATATAGATCATCATTCATGGAATCACAAAATAGCCTTTTGTATCATTCAGAGACAATTCATATCATATCATAATGTTTAGAAAGTATTTCATATCAAACATAACTTTACTAAGTTATTACTCACAGATAATTGCACAGACAACTTTGATAACAACTAATGGACCAACAGCTCACGGTGCGCGACCTACACAAACACAACAGATACATATACTGAAACACACGCTTAGACCGAACTTAACTTATTTCATTTTGTTCTTCATGTGTTTCTAAGTCTTATTCTCTTTATTGTGTCTTAATCATGGCTTAAGAATGCCTAGGATGCAATGACGATGCTAAAATATTTTGAAAACACTTAGTCAGTTATGCTGAAAACAAGGGTCTCGCTCAAGCGCAACTTTATTCGCACGAGCGGATGTCCAAACATGTGAGTGGTCGCTCGATCGTAGCCTCCTTTGCTCGAGGGGTCTGTAAACTTTGCAAAAGTACTGGTTGCTTGATTTTTTTCGCTCAACCTGTCACGACCCAAACCCGCCCCTATAGGTTTAGCATCGTAACCGACCAGTAATCCTTGGATTACCATAGGCCTCTGAACAAATTAACACATAATCAGGGGTTGCGAAAGCCAATATAGAAACATACATAGTCCATAGAGCTGTGCAGACATACATGAGACATATAATTTAAAGCCTTGTATAAATATATATATATATATATACATACATATATGATGTCATAGACATCCATTCAACCTTTTCATTATACACAAAATAGAACAAAATAACTGGTCATAAAACAACAAAAGTCTCAAGCTTATGTCATGGTTTTCAAAACTCGACTGTTGAACTTTTTCCGGAACCTCCTCGGGAGGCACAATGGTTGGTCGACAAAATAGAGACTCCAGGTCATCAACTATAAGCCTGGTCACGCGTCTGGTCGCCTACAAACATAATATATATAGTGAGCGAAGCCTAGTGAGTAATAATAGAGTATAGATTTTTAATGAATGATGTCCAATTTCGTATCATATAAATAAGAGAGATAAGCATAGTCATATAAAAAAAGAGTCATGTTCATATTCATATTCAAAGCATGCGTGTTACTTCCATTAGCATTAACATATCACTTTTGTCAAGCGTATCAAGTTCCATAATGGAACTTCCGATACCGGGTAACATATCTCATACATAGGTCATGATATTGTTTTCCCCGGGCAAGAGCCTGTGCCACGGTATTGTTTCCCCCGGGTAAGGGCATCATGACCATAAGCCACAATATTATGTCCCTTGGGCGAGGGCCTCTGTTAAGAATATTACAAATACATTTCAAAGATATAGATCATCATTCATGGAATCATAAAATAGCCTTTTGTATCATTCAGAGACAATTCATATCATATCATAATGTTTAGAAAGTATTTCATATCAAACATAACTTTACTAAGTTATTACTCACAGATAATTGCACAGACAACTTTGATAACAACTAATGGACCAACAGCTCACGGTGCGCGACCTACACAAACACAACAGATACATATACTGAAACACACGCTTAGACCGAACTTAACTTATTTCATTTTGTTCTTCATGTGTTTCTAAGTCTTATTCTCTTTATTGTGTCTTAATCATGGCTTAAGAATGCCTAGGATGCAATGACGATGCTAAAATATTTTGAAAACACTTAGTCAGTTATGCTGAAAACAAGGGTCTCGCTCAAGCGCAACTTTATTCGCACGAGCGGATGTCCAAACATGTGAGTGGTCGCTCGATCGTAGCCTCCTTTGCTCGAGGGGTCTGTAAACTTTGCAAAAGTACTGGTTGCTTGATTTTTTTCGCTCGACGCACGCTCCACGGTTGCTCGAGTGTGAGACTAAGGTCTTCGCTCGAGCGCAACTCTTGTAGCTCGAGTGGTCTGCAAAACATGGAAACTTCTAGGAGCATGCAATTTACACTCGAGCCAACTTTTGGTCACTCGAACGGAGGTGCAAAACACAAAGTGGTCGCTTGAGCACAGGATCTATCGCTCGAGCAGAGAAACAGAATTTTGGAATTTCCAGATTTGCTCCTAAGCTCAAAATTCGACTCCAAAGCTACAACTCATGATCTTTTGGGCCAAAAACTTATGGAAACTTAGATAAACTTGTCAAACTTCATGAATTTAAAACCATTTCGCAAAATCAAGGTCCAAAGGTATGCCAATTGTGCAAACTCAAACTTAGAATTCAAGAACATAGCATGTATGAATTTATCTTGGCTTCAAAGCTTTCAATACATGAGTTATTGAGGTAATTTGGTATGAAACTTCATGAATTCTCCAAAGAAAGCCAAGATGAACACATGCATGTGGAAATTCTTTGAAATCAAACTCAAAACTTCATGAATTATGCATGCATGCAATGACTCTTCCCAAATTCCTTGATCGAAGCTCAAATCTCATGGTTAGCCATCTAAATTCTTGAATTCTCTCTTATATGTCTAGAATGCAAAGTTTAGGGACAAGATTCTTACCTAGAGTTTTAAATTCACAAGTGTAGAAGCTTAAACTCCCAAATTCTCTAACAATTCCTAGCAATTCTCCCTTTTCTAGCTTTTGATCTCAATTTTCTTCCTTCTCTCTCTCTCTCCCCCCCACATTTTGATCTTAAAGAGTATGGAATGAAGGTGCAAAATGAACTAATAGAGTCAAATGAATCGTATATAGGGCTAATTAAGGAGGCTTAATTAAATTTGACTTAGGTTAATCAAATTGACATTAATTATTCTAATTTAATTCGTTCTGAATTGGATTTCATTTTAACCTACCATAAAAATCTAAAAATTCCAAATAACACATAAACCAAGTCAATTTCGTGATCAGATGCCGATAAGGCCTTCAATTCACAGAACAAAATGGAAACACAAACAGATATTTCTATGATAAACAAATAAAAACACAATTAATGCAACACACATGCAATGAATTCAGAATTTAATCTTAATTACTTATTAGGCATCCTTAATCGTGGTTTAACAGTTAATCATAGGTCGGCGTTCTTATAGTCTTTCCCCCTTAAAGAGTTTAGTCCTCCAAACTCGAATTACCTTTGTTTTGGAAGAATATTGGATCCAATGGAAACAAGTCAAGGTATCTCTTCATCATATCCTCTTCCGTCTCCTATGTTGCATATGTCCCTCCGTGATTTTGCCAATCAATTTTTACAATCTGAATTGGCCTCTCTTTGTATGTATAGTCATCTTTCAGAAGGACATGGGTTGGCTCAATCACATGGAATGGATGTTGTAAAGATTCTCGAAGCATTGAAACATGAAAAACATTATGCATATGTTCCATAATCGAAGATAAAGTTACCTGATATGTCACTGGATTGATCTTCTCAAGGATTTCGTATGGCCCAACATATCTCGGTACCAGTTTCCCTTTCACACCAAGCCGAGTTTGCCCTTTTATTGGAGTCACTTTGATAAACACATGATCCTCGACTTCATATTCTCTCTCTCTTCTTCGGATATCCGCATAACTCTTTTGACGACTTTGTGCAGTTTTCAATCTTTGTTGAATCAATTTCATATTTTCTGTCATTTCTTGCACAAGTTCCAGTCCCAACAAAGGTCTGTCACCTACCTCGGCCCAACAGGTCGGAGAACGACATTTTCTACCATACAAAGCTTCATAAGGAGCCATACCAATACTCGAATGGTAGCTGTTGTTATACACAAATTCCGCCAATGGTAAGTAGGTCTCCCAATTGCCTTGAAAGTCTAACACACACATCCGTAACATGTCTTCCAATGTTTGAATAGTCGATTCCTATTGGCCGTCTGCCTATGGGTGATAAGCACTGCTTAGTCTCAGTTCAGTCCCTACAGCCTGTTGTAAACTCTGCTAGAATCTCGAAGTAAACTTGGGATCTCTGTCAGATACTATGGACACTAGAACTCCATGAAATTTCACAATCTCATTGATATACAAATTAGCCAACTTATCCACATTATACAAAGATTTGATAGGCAAAAAGTTGGTATATTTAGTTAAACGATCAACAATTACCCAGATAGAGTCTATACCTAGGGAAGAGCGAGACAACTCCACAATGAAGTCCATGGTAATATGCTCCCATTTCCATTCTGGTATGGGAAGCGGCTGAAGTAGTCCGGCGGGTTGTTGATATTCAGCTTTAACTTATTGGCACTGCAAACATCTAGCTTCAAAGTCAGCAATACACTTTTTCATTCTAGGCTACCAAAAATTTTGTTTCAAATCCTTGTGCATTTTCGTGTTTCCTGGGTGCATAGCAAATTTAGAGTTGTGAGCTTCAATCATGATACGTTTCCTCAAGTCAAAACAATCTGGCACACAAAGTCAACTCTGAAATTTCAACACATTATTGTCAAGCACAAATCCCGGCCTCGGTTTTGAGTCAATCGCATCAACAATTTCCTTCAAGAACTCGTCTTCAAGTTGTTTCTCTCTAATTTCTTCAATGATTGTAGGCTGAGCATAAGTGGCAACTAAGACTCCACCTTGTTCAGGCAACACAATTTCGATTCCATCTCTTTCCAAGTCATATAACAGTTCTTTTTGACTGGTGAGTAAACATGAAAAATTGGCAACGGATTTTTGACTCAAAGCATCTGCTACTGTATTTGCCTTTCTTGGATGATACAAGATCTACAAATCATAGTTTTTATTAATTCAAGCCACCGTCTCTGTATTATTTCAATTCTTTATGCGTAAAGAAATATTTCAAACTTTTATGGTCAGTATACACCTCGCAAGTCACACCGTACAGATAGCGTCGCCAAATTTTTAGAGCAAACACCATAGCTGATAATTCAAGATCATGTGTTAGATAGTTCTTTTCATGCGATCGAAGTTGCCGAGAAGCATACGCAACCTTCTCATTCTGCATTAACACACACCCTAAACCTTTGTATAAGGCATTATTATAAATCTGAAACCTGTCGGTTCCGTTGGGCAATGTCAGAATTAGTGTAGTTACCAATCTAGTTTTTAGTTCTTGGAAGGCTGATTCCCGTTAATCAGTTCAATCAAATGGTACATTTTTCTAGGTCAACTGTGTCAATGGCATGGCAAGCTTAGAGAAACTTCTGATTTCTGACACATTGATTGGTCTTGGCCAATCTACAATGGCCTCAATTTTCTGCGGGTCTACTGATATGCCGTCTTTGTTGATTACATGTTCCAAAAATGCTACACTGTCAAGCTAAAATTCACATTTTGAAAGTTTTGCATACAACTTCTTTTCCCGTAAAATCTGTAAAGTAGTTCTCAGATGATTTTCATGTTCTTCCTTGCTTTTGGAGTAAATCAGTATATCATCAATAAATACAACGATAAATTCATCAAGAAATTGTTTAAAAACCCGATTCATTAGGTCCATAAACGCTGCAGTGCATTTGTTACCCCAAATGGCATTACCAAAACTTCGTGGTGCCCGTATCTAGTTCTGAATGCAATTTTCTATATGTCTTCTACCTTAACCTTTAACTGGTGATACCCGGATCTAAGGTCTATCTTCGAGAACACTTGTGCTCTCTGGAGTTGGTCAAAGAGATCATTTATTTGAGGTAGTAGGTATTTATTCTTGATAGTTACTTTGTTCAATTCCCGATAGTCTATACAAAGACTCAAAGATCCATCTTTCTTTTTGACAAACAAAACTGGAGCATCCCATGGTGAAGTGCTCGAGCGAATAAACTTCTTGTCTAACAGTTCCTAAAGTTAAGTTTTCAATTCTTTTAGTTTAGAAGTCAATATTCTATATGGGGTTTTAGAAATTGGTTGTGTTCCAGGTACAACATCAATAGTAAACTTAATTTTCCTATTAATTAGATCTCTGGGCAATTCATTTGGAAATACATTAGGAAATTCATTTACTACAGAGATGTTCTCTACAGTAGAACTATCAAAAGTCACAATCAAAACACAACACATATACCCTTTACATCCCTTCCTAAGTAGTTTAACAGCTTTCATGGCAGAAATCAAGTATAGGGGAGGAACTACCCTATCCCAGTAAACACAAACTCAGGTAATCCAAGTAGACGAAATACAACAGATTTATTCACACAGTCAATAGTTGCGCAGTACTTCGTTAACCATTCCATACCCAATATGCAGTGAAAATGGTCAATTCCCAAAGGCCCCGTTTGTTTTGGGTTATAGCAAGGGGATTAGGATTACTAGTACCTTGGGATTAGTATATGGGGTGTTTGTTTTGACAGATAGCCTTGGGACTATTAATACCTTGGGACTAACTAATACCTTGGTGTTACTAATACCTTGTTTGTTTTGAGAGATAGGGAGGGTACTACTAATACCTTGGTATTACTAATACCCTTGGGGAGGGGATTCATAGTGAGGAGGTAGAGATGGTATTAGAAAAATAGTGAGGGGATTAGAAATTTTTTTATTTTTTTTATTTTTTATATATTGGAAATTTTTTTTAAAATATAATTTTTAATTTTTTATATTTTTTTATTTGTTTTATTATTTTATATAAAAATAATTTAACAATTCCTCACTACTAATCCCCTCACTAGTATCAATCCCTTCACTACTAATCCCCTCACTATCAATCCCCTCACTAACAATCCCCTCATTATTAATCCCCTCACTATCAATCCCCTCCATTCCATCTCTGGAAACAAACGGGGCCTGCGAAAGACTAAAGTGAGGGGATTAATAATGAGGAATTGTTAAATTATTTGATTGATAGTGAGGGGATTAAACTGACTAAATTGAAAAGGATGTCCTGTTACTATCAAAACATGTTTATTTATTTAAGTTAACTTGTTCTGGTTAATTAAATAAATTGGATTTAAGAGATTATGTAATAAAATCATATGGTTTTAACATGATATGATTTCACGTATATGTATGAGTATTTTGGTACCCGCATTATCTTCTAATGTTTTAATATGGGATTGTTTGGTGAGCTAGTGGTTGCTCACCCCATGCC